ACACCGACGGTATACAACGATGGATAGCATATCCGATCAAACAGGATCGTCGGCGACGCGAATAGCTCGCGCGTGTCGGACGATAAAACCCGGCAAATTAAATTACTTCCGTCAATTTAAAGAGAACTTTGAATCACTCGCGAGTTGTCTAGTCGATGAGCGCAAATGATTTATAAATTAATCGAAGGGGTACATACATCGAAAAGCACTCAGCTTCAAACTATAAAACGATCAGAAATATTATCATTTAATAGCGAATCGAGGGAAACGTTTAATCGGTTGGAGAAGAGCCGTGTTATTACGTTATAACCGACGGAATAACCTTAACAACCGGCGTAACAAAGTTATTAGGATTTCCTAGCCGTACGCATTATTGATTTATAGTTTACTGATCAGCCAAAGAAACGGAAAACAAAAATGTGTCAAAGCGTGTCAAGTCCGTAACAAGTTTCACGTTGATGTCCAGAAATTAATGTGTGCAATTAAAAAATACGAATACCAGACACGCTCGAAAACTTATTTTCACTAAACTCGAACGATTCTATTTCTATCGTAACATAATAAACTCTTTAACTCCATCATATATTTCTGTTAATACATTATAGAATTATTTATTACAACAAAACTGCATCAATCAGCGTCGCATTGTTATAATCTGATACCTAACCGTTCAAAAATCAGTTCGGATTTAATTAAAGGAAAAACTGTTTTATACTAGAAATATAGTTCATAAAATGATTACAAATGAAATATCGAAATTATTACAATAAGTTGCCGATATTATTAAAGGATTGCCACAAATAGTAATTAATTAATAAATAACTGATAATTATATCCGCATATTGGGAAAATTCAACAATCGGAACGAGCATTTCACGTTGTTCGGGTATTGATTGATCCGTAAACTTAAAAATTTTTATTACTTTGAAGTAATTTGGAAATTTATTGTATGTTTTATATGTTAATGACAAATCTTTATACTTTATTATTTAATTAATTCATTAAATATCGTGTATTCTTATGTAAGTTGGGCAATGTTGATTCCGCGTCGTTGTAGATATCCGGTTATTAGTTTCTTAGTCGCAGTTAGTTACATTTATCTCAGCAACTTAATTGCACATTGCGTTAAGGTTACTTTGCCGGTTGGCATATATAATTAGCACTTGTTCGTCGCGACACGGGGGATTCCCTGGCTGTGAGATTTAACTAAGCGAAATTGATTTCGTATTTCGCGCACGTGATGTTAAACTTAATATTACTGCCTTAAACTTCAAATGCGGTCGGCGATTAATTAAAGTGTTCGCTGTAGACGGCAACGACGGCTGGTGGTGGTGGTGCGATAGAACAAGTTTCACCTTGCCACGGAAAATGAAGAACTTCGAGACTTTCAAATCGCGCGCATACCCTGTTTCTGAGGTTTGACGAATGCTCGACAACGCGCGCGTCTCATGTCTTTGCCATTACGGGAGAAAAAGCCCGCGATGGAATTTTACGCAAATGAAATCTCCTCGAGGACGGAAGTAACACGAAAGCGGGCCGCCTTTGAAGACCAATTAGCGTAACAGTTATGACAGACGCCCTTAACTTCTTCGAATCAACTCGTTACGCCTGTAAATTTGACGTGTGCGACAGACGCGTCGTCGTTACGATCGACCACACGTCGCACACGCCAAAGTTCTCACGTGAGAGCTTTCATCAACGTGTAATTATTTCGCTTAATTGTTGTTATGGATGCTATGGAGCTCAACGTTTACATTCATTAACGATATTTAACAAGGAGCCATAGCTGTTCATCGGCCTCATCAGACCGGCAGGAAGATTGCCATGGGAATAGCGATTATTAAGGGGACTGGAGGGTCTGATTACTGAAAAATCGTGCTTGTTTTTGATAATGATTTTGTGACGAACTGAATAAATGTGCAAGAATGAAAATTTTACATATATTTATATAACATGTGAAGAGTAGAAAAATTTTGTTTTTAAACAAATACTCATATAAATATACATCCATTTAAATTTTAAACACATTTTTCTCGAAATTTTATTGTTCAACTTTTCTTCAAAACTGAGCTTCGTATCGATTTGAAATTTTAAAGCAATAATATTTGTTCATGTGGCTCAGGTGAACCATGGACAACTCCGTCAAAATATTTCATTTCGAGATATTAATTTTTTTATTATAAAAGAACTGAAAATTTTGAATTTTTTCTTAATAATAGCTGCCATTTTGTTAATTTTGTTCGATTTTTTTTTCTAGTGGTTCACCGGATAATGATAAGCCTCCTCAAGATTTCTAGCTAAAATTCACTCTGATCGGACCACCGAGAGCCGAGATATTACTGCAAAAACGATAACTTGAAAAAAAAAAGGAGAGTATATTTCAGCTATGTATATCGTATATTTATACGAGTATTTGTTAATAAACAAAATTGTTCTACTCTTCATATGTTGTATAAATATACCTAAAATTTTCATTCTTGCACATTTATTCAGTTCGTCACAAAATATTATCAAAAACAAGCGCGATTTTTCAGCAATCTGACTCTCCAGTCCCCTTAAGGCTGCTT